GTTTTCAAGACGAAAACTATTGTGTAAAATATATTTAGGTCAGTAATGACGCCTATTAATTGTAATCAATTGTAGTAGCTTATCAGGTACCTATTGAGACGTTATCGAGTCAGATATAGGAGATGTTGTGCAGATTTTGCTTAAAAAACAATATGTACTAACTAAATGAAAAGTGTTAAATATTTTTTTGTGTAAAGTATTTTAGTAAACTTTAATTTTGAATATTTTATGTCGTTTATTAGGGACGAACTCGAGCGGAGCGAGAGCGAGTCGTTACGTTTTAACGTTTAGTAAAGATTTCTTAGAGATGAGACATTTTCCCGCAGTAAAAAGTATCCTAAATGTTGACCCGGATAACCAGCTATAATCATACCACGTTTCATCTCATCTGTCCGTCCGGTGGTTTTCTCGTGATGCGTTCTTAGAGATACAGACAAAAATTCTAAAAACTATAAATTCGGCCTATGTATCGTTAATAATGACTATTTAAATAAAATCTTCAAAAAAATAATGTACAGATTCGAAGCAGAAATTTATTATATGTATAGATGATGTCTTTTCGTCTTGATAGTTTTTTTTTGTGAATACGTAAACGTGTACATATATTGTACCGTACTCCCGTTCTCTATTATTGTAGTTTTCCACGCAAAAAAATATCCTTATATATATATTTTGTAAATCATCGTCCGTGATTTATTTACTTATTTAAGTATTTACACAAAAAGTAGGTAGCAGTTGAATGAAATTGGACGAAACTTGACATACGGATAGATTACATCCCTACCATAGAATATTTTTATTCCAATTCCAATCCCATGGGATAACAATTTAAATTAAAAAAAATTCAACAACACTGTTCTCGAACGTCTATAGAAGCAGCAGAACTAGTAGTACGTAATGCGTATTACTCTGAAAAGTGGGACAATTATCAATATCGGTGTTCAAATAACGAATCCCCGACCTCGGACAAGTACCTAGCTATGCAGGTCGCTGTTATTTCATCATTTTGCGTAATTCATTAGAACAAAACAATAGAGAGTACATTCAGTTAGGTCTTGAACTTTTAGTGATAGGCGTCAATTTTAGATAACTTAGTTGTAGGGCGCACCAATTTATATTATCGAGCTCTCGTAGTACTACTAGTTAGTAAATCATTCATTGCGCAGATAAAAACAAGGACAAACATGCGCCAATAGAATTTGATCTTAATCATTATTGAAAATTTGAGGAAAAGATATATGAATAGAATTTACCTATCTATATAAAAAACTGTTTCGATTTTTTTTATTGGTGTCACTAAAGCTCGTCAATAGCTAAACAAGAAAAAAAGAGAATCGGTTGACAAACAGAGGGGGAATAGGTAATAAACTGTTTTGTCTTGCCATATTTATATACGTACATAAAGAAGTTAGAAAAAAGTTTGTCTGTTCATATTAAACTTATAAAGATTTAGTAGTTTTTGATTGGATTTTAGAACTCATTTCGTTATAAAAAATATTGTTACTCAATGTTTAGGTAATTAGAAAAAAATAATTTTTACATAATGTATTGACAGTTCGAGTTTAATTTGATACTATAGGTCTGTGGTTTTCCTTACTAGCGGTAGAAAGTTGACGTAATTGATATGGAACTTATGTCAAATATCTATCTTTGGTGAGCAAAACTACAAATGGACAGGTTATTGGGATCCATTGTAAGGTGAGTGAGAATTGTCTTGCATAGGCTTAAAATACCATAGTATTTTTTTAATGTGAAATATATTTGAATATTTGTTTACACTTTGTGTAGCAACTATCAATCAAACATCAATCAAAATTAATTATTGAAAGAACGGATTTAATAATACAAAAGTTTTTTTTTCAAATCAGACTGCAATTAAAAAGATGATTTATTATATTAATATAGATAGCGCTGGAACAATGTTTGGTTAAGAAAATCGATTAAATATCTTATATTCTAAAAAAATGCCTGGAGGTGCTGGGATTTGAACCCAGGACTTTCAGCATGCGAAGCAGACACTCTACCACTGAGTTACACCCCCTGTGAAAAGTTACAATAAAAATAGAGACACATTTCGTTCAGAAAATTATTACCTTGAACTAAATTATTACCTTAAAATAATTATTAACTTAAACACACCAAAAAAATATAAAGTAAAAAAAGCTTGGAAGTTTGTATGAAACTACGTTATTTTTAAATTACGCGGACAGAGTCGCGGACAAATGCTAGGAAGAGTATAAATATAAAGGAAATTATTAAACGCACAAAACATTATGTAATACCTATACTGATATTTTTTGTGTGTCATTGCCAATTATTGAGACACAATTTTTGAGAGGTTAGGATTTTACAGAAAGATGTTATAATTATGTAAGTTATTTGGATATTTTTTATCTGTATGTCTGAGGGAGGTCAGGCAGTTAGCGGTTGGCCATTGGACAAATAACTATAGGTATGTTTTTTGTTAACATACTATGCATTATATTTGTATCAATCGATATTTTATCACAATAATTTAATATTCCATCTATTAATATAAATAATTTATATGGAACTAGCCTTGAAGTAAGTTTTCATTAAAAAATAATAATTGATCGATAATTGTCTAAAAAACCGCATCATTCACAAAAATATTGCCCGTTATATTTTTAGGTTTTGAGTTTTGACCCAGAAAATACGATTTTATTTTGAATAGTGATTGCAGTGGCATACTTCACTTTGCATCGAGTACCCTTCCGAATATAAATTTTTTTTTTTTAATTTTAAAGTTAATTTATAGTTATACCATTTTTTTTGTTAAATGGTGGGATGGCATCGTGTAATGTGTAAATGTATTATGTGTATTAATTTAATTCTTATTTGCAATCACGATATTATATTAGTAATAATATGAAATTAATATCAACAATTATTATTAACAATAAATAATTCGAAACATTTGAATAAATCGAAATTTTTATATTTCTTTTAAAATGACTTGAAAAATAAATTTTTGATGACACGTTTGACTCAATCAATTTGTATTGACCCTACTTGCTGTGCCAGCGGTCACGGGTTCGAGTCCCGCCGAGGGCATTCATTTGTATGATGAGCGTGAATGTTTGTACTCCAGTCATATGGGTATTCAAATTCAAAGTTTTATATGTGTAGTGTATCAACTATCTGGTATCCATAACACAAGCCTCGTAGCTTACCATGGAACTGGTGGTGATGTGTGTTAATGTCCCAACATATTTATTTATTTATTATTGTAAAAAGCGGTATTTTTTTTATCTCTAGCAGAATAAAAAGTTGGTGAAAGGATAATTTTGATCATATATTCGTATAAACGTTGACCATATACATAAATAGTGGACTTTTTCTTTGCCAGTCGTCAGCTAAAAATGGTCGTAAAATGACAAAGACAAAAAGAATGTGCGGCCAGAAGTCTTCTATTTTCATTGAAAAAACGATTAATGACGATAGATATTTATAACCATTTTACATTCCATTATAATATTGTAAATTCAAATCGGAATAAAAGACGAATATTAGCCGCAAGTTAGCTTTCTCTCTTTCTAGAGAGTGGTCAATTTCATGAGAGTATTACTCTCTACGTCTATGACGCTGACAGAATGTAACGGCTATTGATCCTGCATGTACAGTGTACACATTCACTAAATCTTCCGGTATACATGAGGCGGGCTCTGATATACCTAGAAAATAATATAATCTAACTAATTTTAACTATTTGTAAATTATTACTAATGCGAAAAATTATATTATGTACAATTATGAATAAATAGGTTTCTTCTCCCTTCTCCATAGTCTTTTTTACCGAAAATCATTTTTTTAAATCTTGTAAGCATTAAAATTTCTACACGTACTACTTTCAAATAGAACTTTATCGTCTATCTATTTGAATGATACAAAAGTCATTGGGCTTCAAAATAAATATTTCTTACAATCAAACTGAAATATAAAATGCACAAAACAATGACAAATTAGAAAGTTTTTAAATTGCCGCATTTCGTAAACGTTTCGTATACTCGTAAGTGACTAAATATCTATTGTTCTGTTTGCGAAGCGATTGAGATTAAAAAATATAAAAAGATAAGTTATCGCCTGCGAAATATATGAGCATTTAGTCTCGTAGTGGTTTTTATGTAATAAAAGCTCGATGTACAGTACAAGTACAAGGTGGGATGTGCACTTAAACTGACACACGTGTATCATACACGCGCGTTACACGTTCACCGATAAGAGTTAAGTTGCTCCAACAATTCTAATCAGAGCGACAATCGTAGACCGCTCGTTTGTTGTCGTCATATATATATATATATATATATATATATATATATATATATATATATATATATATAAAAAAATGAACTCTACTTACCGCGCGACTATCGCACTACTTTTTGTTACTTCAGTATCTTTCATTTTCTTTTTAACATACATTTAAGACTTAGATTAGTTTTTATAAGTTTAGCTTCAATCAAGTATGTTATAAACTTGATATTATGAATTTTTAGTTTGAACTGACATAAAACTAGCAGAAGTCTTTCACGATTTATATCGCGCGGTCTGTCATACCCTCTCTATAACACGGAGGGTTAACGTATATCAGGTACACTAGATATCAGAGAGCCATGACCCGGGTTCATGTTGTGTTAAAATTCAAAGCCCGTTTAAAGATAAGAGGAAAATATATTCATTGTTTATATTTTGCTTCCCCGTTATTATTTCCTGATAAATATATAATTGACCAAATTTGATAAAACTAATGAGTTATAAAGGAAATAATGTTAGGTTTAGCAAAATTTATTAATTGATATTATTTATTGATAGATTAGTAGAAATAATAATAGATTTAAATAGGGCTTTCGTTGATGCTATTGGTTTTAGAGAGAGTGATGCCATTTCTGTTACTCATGGGAAACTTTTGTATGAACAAAAGCTTATTATGATATAAGTTATATTAAGTTAAACTTAAGCTATCTTATCTTTGTTCGTAGAAGAACAGCATAGCTCTACTTACCCTGATGTGCATTTGTGTCATCATCCAAAAATCAGAAGCACGGCCTCCGTGGCTTTCTCCTAGCAGTGGTGTTTTCACCGAGTCGGCAGAGTGTCATACAGACGTAAGTATACATTAATCATTAGAATGTCTAAAATTATAATAATTTTTTTAGTGAAATGTTTTTTATTTTTGCCTATAAAAAAGAAGTTTTATAGGTATTGTCCTGCTGTCGAATTTATACCTTTTCCTATGAATAAATAGTAGTATTGTGCTGTCTCATATATAATTTTTGTGGTACCTATATTATTTTATGATTATTAAGTATATTATTTTTATATGATTATTAAGTAATCTCTATTTCCCTCTTCTGAGACTCCTCTACAGACTATTAACTATTTTCTAAAGCAAAATTGAGTCAAAAAATTATTCATGCTACTTTTTATCTTAGTTATCTTAGGTATATAAAATCATTACCGTTGATACAAATAATAATAATAAAAAATAATTTTCAATATTTGTTATACTGTTATCTTTTGTTTTAGGACGAACTTCTTGACTTATGCCAGAGGTGTGCGAAGTTAACCAAATCCCGTCTCGCGTATCCTGCTTGTTGCTCCACAGATCTTCAAGCTAGGAAGTGGTGTTCGGATTACGTATATTTTGGCCGTGATAAATACGATTTTTACCTAATTTGAAACCGTAATCATATCTGATAAGGTAATAAAATGCTCACTACCACTAGACATCCGTGAATATTATGTATAGAATCGGCATTTCAAATTTCAGTAACATATTTTATATTATCGGTTTTCCTTGGTATCTTTAAATATATAATAGCTGATGCGTGGGTTAGTTATCGTGTAACTCCTGAAAGATTGGGCCGATTGAATATAATTGTTTTCGAGATGCTGCTTTATGTAGTTATAATATTAAATGGCTTTGTAGTCATATGATAAAAAATCGTCTAACATTTAAAATATAATATATAACTTTAGTGCTCAAAAAGATAATGAAAAAATCTAGACCTCGATCACGTTTTTCCAAAAAAACAGCACAGCTACCTACATATATGTTTATATTTAAAACAGTGTTCTTGCTACTTATAAAACCAAATCTCTTTCTAAGAGTTTTATAAAGTTACTTTATAACGGCGTCAAACCTCAACCATCGAATGAACCATTAAAAAATATATTTCAAAGATTTATTCACAAGTAATATAAATGAACAAATTGTATAATTGGTTTGAATTTCTTGAAGGATTGGTTCAAAATTCAATTCTTGACTTTTTGTGTATACTGTGTACAGAATAAGTTTTGTAGTTGTGTCAATATTCGAATAATTTAGTGGTTACTCTTAAAACAAACATGTAAAAAAATATTTAATGCAAAAGCTTCGATCAACAATACTACTAGATATCGGCTCGGCGTAAGAAATCCGTCTCGGTAAATATAAGCTCACTTGTAAAGTGAGCGTATATTTCGATTAGTTTTATTGAAACACTGCCAACGTAAACACGTTCACAATGCCGCAACATGTATTTAAAAGTTGCAAAAATAATGCACAAAGAAAAAAAATTCGGACGCAGTGTCTTATTTTCGTTAAGTACATGTAGATTAAGTCAATATTTTAAGATTTAACCTACAAATAATAAAAATGAAATTTTAAACAATTTGAATCCGCTAAGAACGTTTGGCGAAATTCAAAGAAGCAAACAGAAACAAAACAACGATTTAGCTCACAAATCAACAACGGGAAAAGTGCTTTATATTTTTAACATAAAGTTGATTTTACAATAAATATTATAAAACTTATGAAATGATCGTAAGTGTATGATGATAATTTGAAGATTTGTGACTTTATTACAAGGTGCTATGGTGTTGATTAGCTTGAAAATAAAACTATTATAAGACTTTGTCTTGGTTCGTTAGTATACAAATGTAGCTGTATAAGTACAGAATTTAGCTTTTATTTTGTATGTGACACGTTATCTAGTAGTGTTGTTGATCGAAGTGCAAAAATAACCCAAGTCAAAAATAATAACTTAAAACAATGTTTGTTTGAGAAAAGTAAAATCTATCATTTTGTATAGTTTTTTCATCGAAGGACTTTATTTTCTAAATATTATGAGAAACCGCTCAATACCTAAGTTTAGTATTTATATATGCGTAAATAAAAATATTTTGGCTTTTACTTAAAAAAAAAGATAAGATTAAATTGAGTTGTACAACTAATATAATTTTATTATCATGTTTAGAATTGCATATAAAAATGTAAGTGCATTTCTATATCAAAAGTTTTAGTTAGGTCACTTTTGTACTGCATGTAATATTATATAAGGTTGTGTGTAATCAAGTTATTTTTAATTACCTGCTTACTTAAAAATGTGATAGCGGGTTATTTTATAGAGATTCCCAGTAAAGGGAGTTTAGCCCAGCAGTGGGAATAAGTTGAATATACTTTTAGTATCAACCCTCAAAGGCATGGCTGTGATATTCTTAGCTTAGGTTTTGTATCGACAACATTTTGATAATAAATAAATTAGTCAAATGTATGATTTTTCTTTTATTTCTTGGCCTTATATTAAGTTACTTTTATTTTAAATTATTATTCGTCGTTTTATACTAGTGATTCAACCTTGCTTCGCTCGAGTTGTCCTTCACCCTAGGAACCTAACAGTACCCTATGTCCATAGTTTATCTGTTTACTAAATTTTATCCAAATCTGTCCAGCCTTACAATTTTCCTCATTTATAACAATATGATTAAAGCACACTTAAAATAAAACAATATGACAAAATCCATAAATTATTTATTTATTACTATCTGACAATATTTTAACAAGTTACATTATGTACAAAATCTGTTACTATTACGTTACGTTCCCCTAATGTACCACGGATTGGATGACGTTGGTTTTATTAAACCAATAAATAATGGTACACTAAAAAACTATAGAAAAAGAAGATTTTAATAAATTAAAAGCACAAAAATACTTTTTAAAAGTATCTCTTATTATTTTCTAAAAGTCGACGTCATATCCAATCCGTGTCATTTTCATAAACTTACGCACTAAAGTGCTTGGTTTTATAGAACCATCGTTAAAAAATCTAAAATGGAATCAACCTTTTTTTAGTTTTGTTAAAAATACAACAACTACATTTTCATAAAGTGTAAATTTTTCCATTTTAAATTATTATATTTACATTAGTACAGGAAAAAAATGTTAACTCTCACAAATTGTTCGAAAGTAACGATTCAAAGTAGTAATGATTAAAAAGAATGTCCGAATATTAAAAAAAGAAAAATTTTTTTCCACGTTAATTTTTATTTAAAAAAAAATATTTTTCGGAAATTACTAAAAATAATCAAAACACAAAACAAAATAGAAAAAGTACAAAAACTAAGAACCAATTACACTACGGGCCATATTTGTGTATACACATATAATCCTCGTGAACACATCTACTTACCGCGCGACTATCGCGCTACTTTTGGCTACTTAAGTATCTTTTATAGTAATTTTGACTATACATTTAAGATTTACATTAATTTTTACAGATATGGGTGTAGCTAAAATCAAATAGGTCATAGAATTTCCCGTTTGGACGGACATAAAACTAGCATTTGTTTTCTACTCGAAGCACTTTTAATGCTTTGTGATTAAAAAAACATGATTTAATTAAAAAGTAAATGCAGTATTTAAAGGAATAAAATAGAATAAAATTTTAAATTGTAAACAAAAAAGTATCAAAAATATTTTTTTGTTAGGATTATTAAATATTTTCATTTTTTTCAATCACAAAGGCTGTTTAAATTTATATTACAACAACAAAAAAATGAAAAAGGGGTCTGTAGCCAGAACTAAATCTTATTTTAATGTATAAGTTATGACCATGTTTTTAAGAAAACTACGTTTATTTACAAAACTAAGTGAACTGTACACTTGGGGTCAAAATTCTTTGTATCTTGTCCATAAAAGTTTCGATTCCCACAGTCTTGATTTTATTTGACCAGTTTCAAGAGGTAAGAGTAAATACTTTTTTCTTAAATTAGCATTAGTATTCATCCAACAACCAACAAGAATATATAACTATAACAAAAACATTTTTAATTGAACAAAATTATTAAAAAAGCCATCTTAGATGTTAAGACTCCAGTCAATAATAAATAAAACTTAGAATGTACTTGTAATGATAATTTTTCATTTTGTTTAGGTAATGGTTTCGTTTGTGAAAACAATTGAAGTTACTAAAAATTTTTGAAGTACCTATCTGTATATATGTGATATGTACAGAAATAGGATAAGTTAAAAATTAAAAAAATGTTTTAGACTTTAATTGATTAAGAAATAATGAGTATTAATCTTTTAACTACTATTCAAAGTGTAATTTATTGCAATTATAGTACAATTTATTGAGTTATATTAGAAAAGAAGTTTTAAAGCAAACTTTATGATTTTCACAACATATCCTCGTCGGGGTGTTCTTTTTCGTAAATTTCCTGTAATTTTTGTTGGTTCTTGACTTTTTTCATTTGCGCATAAATCGACGCTGCTTTGTAGTTGATGGGCCCGTAGTCCTTCATGTCGGCGTCCGCGTATATAAACTGATCTTCTGGTCTAAAAGGCTGGAATATAATAAAATAAATTAAGTAAATTATTATTTAGTGAGCAAAACTTATAGAAATACTGTCTATGTCTCTTTGTCACAGATAAATTTCTCTTAATATACTGAGAAAAAAAAACATTTCTTTATGTATATATAGAGATATATAGCTTAAACCATTGATTACTGATTTGGTGATAGAAATAATATTAAAAAAACTTAGTAGCCGGCGCTACGAGAACTAGCAGCAATATTATCTACTTTTTCAAAATTACGATTTTAGAGACAAAATAGTAACAATGTTATAAAAGTTATTCTATATAATAAATGTAATCATGTATGAACACATCTCTTATTCAGCAGAGTTTTTTTTATTTGGTAACATTAATACTATTAAATATATATTGTATACTAAAATATAACATATATACATAGATAAAACAAAAACAAACAAATAAAGTAGTCACAAAACGAACGGCTAAGCTATAAAGTTAATAAAAATAAATATTAATAAAATAAAATGGCTAAGCGTTAGAACAGTTAAAGAATGTTTTTTGAAAATTACCTTTTTTTAGAAAATGTACGTGTCGCTCTTGGCAAAGCGGGCCTATGAACAAAAAGACATACGTCACAACACTGAGATTACATGCTTTTGAATAAATCTTTTATAAAATGTCTAAAATTAAATGTTTTCGCAATTTTTTTAATATTTTTTCTAAATAAAGGCTTTATATTATAAAGTATAATTGTATAGAATTTTTTTTTATTATAATTGTATAAATTAATTGAATTCACATGCAACTTTACATTCAAAATATTTTAAAGCAATCAGATTCCATGCTCACTTAATGATTTAATGAATACTCATTGAAAGGAAAAATTAACTATCATAAAAGTTATAAAAAAAATAGGTTATCGTTAGTCATGCTACTTTTTTAAATAAAATGTATTAAATTCAATTAATTTAAAAAAATCTGCTGAATAATAGAAAATAATTCTTCTTCATCTTCCTTTTTCTTCTTTTTCATCTTTAGACATGTATTCCAATATAATAAGTACAGGCTTTACATGACCGACATTCATATTATTGGAAAGGATAATTTAGTAATTAAAAATCGCTGTTTTCAATTTAGGTAACCAATTTTAGGTGATGATTGATGATATAAATTTCAAAGACTGTTTCAAAAAAAAATATTCATATATGTATCTTATACGAAAATAAGTTTTAGAAAATAAAAATTTGCAAACATGACTAAATTAATACTTAATTATTTATATATTTTTTAGATTTAAAAATATAGAGTTATAAATGATCAATACATTAAAAATGATTAAGTATCTAAGAAATAAACATTATAATAATTTATATCAATGATTATGATAGTAAATATTTTAATGATTAATAACACAAAGTTACTAATTGTTAGTAACAAACTCACCTTTACACGTCGATTTCATTGAATTTTAGAGTCGCATAATCGCTCCTCTGTTGACTTTTCCTATTTGATACATTACTTTTGTAGCTACTATTACTTTCTTTAGACTCTACATTACCTATAGTGTATAAATGCTTATTAGAATTGACTGTATTCTTAAATTTTAAATTATGATTACCTAACGCTAAGTCTGCGTATACTAATTTTTTATTTTTAGGCCTATCGTCTTTGCAGAGCGTATTAAAATTTGTATTATAACTGTATTCTGGGCTTAAGTTTCTAGTTGAGTTTGATATGTAGTTGCCTTTTAAAAATTGCAAGTAGTTTTTCCTGTCGTTACTGTAGTCTGGCTCGGGGTAGTTGGGTTTTTCATAATTATCATATATTCCCACACAAGATAATTTTTCGCGGAGACTTTCGGATTTTTTTAATCTGTTTAATTTTTGACTTTTATCTTTTGTACGGTTTAGAGTTTTCGCGTAATATTGTGTTTCTGGCTGGTATATTGGACCTATTGTGTTGTTATACGTCTCTTGGTTCACGGGAATTCTTTTATCTACTCGGATCGGTTGGAAATAACAGAAGCTGTGGTGTTTTTGCAGTGGAATTTGGAAGTTTTTCTTATTTTTTCCTTTGGACATATTCGTAAAGTTTCTTTGGAGGTATTGCTGCTGTATATTAGTACTCTGAAATGAAAGGTTAGTTGGTTAGTGTGTTAACCACATTGACAAACAATGATGAATGAGATGATAAAAGAAAAATGAAAACATACAAAGCGTTTATACCTGAGCGATTTCACCGTTTTTAGGTAAATTTATTTGTACAGAATTGCTACGTTGAACTAAATTTCTTTTTGGTATAGGTTTTTCTGATAATTTTGGTATTTGAAGGGTTTTATTTGGTAAAATAACTTGCTTTTTTGGCAAAGTTACTTTGTTAATACCTTGATCGTTCAGTTGATTTACTACAGATCTAACTAAGGATGTCGATGGTAAAGTAATGGACGTCCTTTTAGGCGTTGCTCCTATGATGTTTGGTTTTGTATTTCTATCTTCGTTAACATCGTTGTCTCGGTCAACATCATCATTTTCAGAATAATTATCGTTATTGTCAGCTATATTTTTGAGACTCGTAGTTCTTTTTGGTATAGTTAACATATATTTGGTTTCATTTCTTTGGATTATAGGTTTCGAAACATTTTCTTCAGATTTCGATGATCTTATTGGACCATCGACTACATCTACTGATTTAGTATAACGGGAACTTATTAGTGGCATGGATAAATTAATATAAATATGATCAGATTTCGATGGAGAGTTTAACGGCGTTAGCTTAGTTCTCGGCGCCGGCACTGGTCTATTTAGTGAAGTCTTTGAAACATTTATACTTTCGTTACTTTCTTCACAGACTTGTATAGAATCTGTTAGATTTTCAAAATGCTCAACGCCACTCACATTCGATTTGATTCTAAGCAATGACGGGAAATTTTCATAAATATTGTCCTCTGAATCGATAACGTCATCAGAATCCGTAGTATTTTTGGTGTTATTGTTAATTTCATTGAAATTTTCTCCATATTCCGTATTAGGATAGAATCGTTCTATGTTTCTTTTTCTAACAATTCTCATAGACTGAAATTTTGGCTTTGTCTTTACATTTCTAGTATTTAAAGAACTAAATTTTTTTGAATCAACTATTTCTTCATCTATAGTCGGAAATTGCTTCAAAAACGGTACTTGGGGCAAATAGGGATTCAATAGCACAGTTTGATGTAGAGGGTACATTTGTTGTATCGGTGATAAAACCGGTATTCCGTATGTTTGATAATTTGTACTCGAATTAGCTACTGGATAGTTTACAGCATTTTGTACGAAAGGTGGACATACAACCCTCGGTGTAAATGATGGGTTTGTTGTCAATTGTTTTTGTAAGGCCTCAATGCCTTTAGCAGTTTTTTGGTTAGTCTCTACAATCCTAGGCTGAATCGCTTGTACAGGCTGTTATTCATGCCAAAACATAACATGAAAAAGAAAAATAAATGCAAATTAATAATAAAGCTGAACAAACAAAATCATAACATCTATCTTACAGATGAATAACAAATAAAACTAGAAAAATAATAAAAATACAACGATTGTTTTTGTGAGGTTTTAGATATTCTATTTACGTTAAAAAGGGAAAAAATATTATCATCAGGCAATAATTACGATATGTGATATCATCATAATATATTAATAGAGTCTTTAAAAACTTTTCCTTTATTTATTATTGTTATTTTTTCATCAAAACAAAATTTAATGAATACAATTTCATATTAGTAAACACACAATCAACTTAAAAGTTTATTTAGGGTCGATTTAGTTTTTATGATAAAATGTCATTTGTATATTTAAAGAAATCAATTAATGTAATGCCAATTTTACAATTCATACTAATATTAAAAAAGCAAAAAGTAGTCTATCTGTTATCTCTTCACGACTAAACGGCTGAACCGATTAAAATGAAATTTGGTATGGAGATAGTTTGAGACCTTGGGAAGGGCATAGGATAGTTTTTATCCCAGAAATCAACCCATAAGGGAGTGAAAAGGTGGGTGGAAGTTTGTAAGGGGAATTAATCATTATTCAAGTAAGGGATACAATTTTTTAATTTTTTTAAAGTACTTACCTACTTTACTATACCTATGTATGTATGCACATATATATCGTTCATTCTATACTACCCGTTAAAAATATAGCTTACCTTATTAGGAGGTTGTTGCAGACCGTGGAACGGCAGATTCTCGTACAGGCCGTTGTCTGCGAGAGTGCCGTTTGCTGCACTATCTACGCCATTCGTAGGTGGGCCTGGAAATGTGAATGTTATTGTATTAATTTTGTGTATATTATTTATAATTAAAAAGGGCTAAAATTCTGTTCTTTTATTTTAATAATTGTCAAGAAAAAATATTTTGTAATAATAATGATCGTGTAAGTAGAAGTTAAAAATTTTGTGCAATATTTTTAATATTTATTTTGGGAATAATGAACTTGTCATAAATAGTCGGTCTTAAAATACAGTAATTAGTTTTATTATTTAATAATATATTGGATTGGATTTTAAATATGCTGAGTATTTAAAAAAAGAAAAGTGTTAAAAATGTGATATTTATACAGTCATTTACATATTCATTTTAAAAAGAAATAAATTATTTTTCTTAGAAAAATATTAATAACATCAATAAAACAAGCAATACAACACAACGTGCTATACTTACTGTCGCCGGGTTTTTTTCTCTTTCTTGTATTTCTCGACGAGTCTGTCGTCAATTCATTACCATTCGTTGTGCAAATTCTATCAGGCCTTTTAAACGACACAACTAAAAACATGCCGTTATTTAAACAATGCAAAAAATAAAGCAATCACAACTGGAAATGTCGTGCGAAATAAAAAAAATCAATGAAAGAACATTGTACTAATTTGAATGAATAGTATCATCAAATTAAGAACCAACATTTGAAGTCCTATTATATTTTATAAAATTGAATAGTAGATTTCTTTTGTACATTTCTTTCATTGAGAAATTAGGATTTTTGTTAAGAATGTTGTACTCACTAATATTACTGAGACTTGTTTAACAATCAAATAAATTGCGAAAGCGTAACTTTAACACTTGTGAGTAGTGAAGAAAAAACGTGCTTTAAATGTATTGTGATAGTGATGTGTAAAGTAAATGTATGAGATGATATTTATAAGAAAAAAAAATTTGGAAAAAAAAAACATTGAATAAATGATATATAAAAAATATAAAATTGTTTTGATCATAAAAATATAATCTCACACGTTCTTAACGTGATATCCAAAAAAAGTCTACCTCCTTCAGTCACTATCACGTTTGGCGATTCACTTGAGAAAAACGACCGTATCCGTCTTTTGGGTCCATAATTTTTATTCAAAACTAATGACACAGCTCTCTTATTAGATTTATTTATCTTCTTATATTTTCCACTATCATCATCTGATGAATCACTTTTTCGTCTGAGATTTTTCAGAATTCCCGATACAACTTGTGTATGTTTTCTTGGTTTTCCAGTTTTTTTCGAATATTCACTTTTAGGCGTTACTTTGTTTTCCTCAACGTTTCTAGATCTTTCTAGCAATCCCAAATTACTTTCTTCAGTAACGTTTTGAGTTCTATTTTGTAATTTTGCTTGATTTTTTGGACTCAAAGTGTGATTAGAATTAACGTGCACTAATACTCCAGGTTTTAGCGGCCATTTACTTGGTGTTACTACTGTTTGAACTTTATCTGAATCTTTTTTATCACATTTCGGTGTTTCTTGCTTTTCAATTTCGTTTGTAACTTCCATATTACTGTTAGATTCTTTTAAAGTCATTTCTAGGTTATGTGCATTTTGTGAATCGACTAATCTAGTTCTATCAGATGATTTTGGACTAAATGTTAAATTTAAACGCGGTGATAAAGCGGGTAAAGCTTGGGATATTATAGATTGAGCTATAGACACTTCGTTTATACAGCTACCATCCGGACTGTTTAAAAACATGAAAAAAATATATTGTTAGGAATGTGATGATTTGTTATGATTATATTCATGATTATTACTTCTGTATTATGAATTTCTTTATAATTATATAAAAACGACAATCTTGTTGATATGAGACGTAAATAATTATAATATATGTAAACAAATAAGATCTCTTTAATATGTTACTATTCTAATCTTTTTATACTAAATTTGAATTGTGGCGCTGTCAGATGGATAGGTGTAATGATAAAAACATTTTTAATTCTGAAGTTATAATATTTTAATTAATTTAATTTGTATGAAGGAATCGACAAACCTGGCTATAACTATAAATGTCGTTTCTTTGTATTTCAGAGCAACAGATAAGTTTATTCTTGCCGATTCCTAATAACCACGACTTATTGTCTTATAAAACGACATTTAAAGCTATAGCCAGGTTTATCGAATAACTTCAGAATTAAAAATATTTTTCTCATGACACCTATACATCTGACAGCACCACAATTCAAATTCAATATAAAAAGATTAGAATAGTAACATATTAAAGAGATCTTATTTCTTTACATATATCTTTTACTATAGTGTCTTGAATGTGAAATCCGGAATACAGACAGAAAAATAATTCACTCAAAAGATTGAACACAAAATAAAACAGAAAAGTATAAAGAGAATAAAACGATAAATGATAGTATGATATACAAAATACATACACTGTAAATATAATAAACAGCTAAATTAAATAAATTGAAAAAAGAAACCGACACTAGAAGAATGCTTTCCAAACTCCATGCAGTGGATGCAAAATTTGCTTTTCCATACTACAAATATTCATAAAACAATCAAATAAACACACAAAAAACTCTCAAAATTCCAACAATCAATGCGAAAATAGCAGAAAAATAAAGAAAGCATTCTCCATCTATGAAGAATCAATATTTTGTTAGTAATGTATACCTGAAGTATTAATTGTTGTCAGTCTCAATACATCTGGTGTTAGAGCGGTTAGGAACCTAAGAATAATAAACATTTGTACGTAAATATTAAAATATGTTAAATGTGTTAGAAACTAAATTTCTTACCAAAACAATTAAAATATATGATAAGAATTCTTTTTTAAATAAAATGAGACAGTGTTAGAATGTATAGTAATTATAAAAACATGCACTTAATGTACTGGGGTTTAGTAAGCCCTATTTTCTAAAAAGGCCGTTGGTCCAAGCATTGTGTACAGGCGAAAACTCAAACAAGCATACGATTCAATTTTTTTTGACAAAATAAAAAAGTTTTTTCATAGCCTTAGAATTTTTTCAAAATATCTAGTCTGTAGTTAGAAAATAAGACAGTTGGGGCAAATCTTCAAAATTTCATTGCAAAATGCACATAATTACTTAAGTTATTTGTGTTGATTTTGTTTTGATTATTAATTAATAATCACAAAAAGTAATGTTTTATTTTAATTAAAACATTAATAACAAAACTTCTTAATTGAGTACTTCTCTCATTAAGCCCAAATTATTTAATTGTTATTGATGAGATGACATTGCTATCGCTTTACGTCATGTGACATGAATTAAGAAATTAAACAAAAAAAACTCTAAAATTGAAAAAAATAACTTTTTCACAAAATATAATTTTAAGTTAATAAAAAATCAGTCAAAAAACTTTCAATCGTATGGTCATAGGACCTGTGGTCATCACTAAAGGCGCGGCGCGGCATCGACAGCCGCCACGAGTCCGCTCGGACCAACGGACTAGCTGCAACGGTTATATATACGGATATAATATATACTTATACGTATAAAGTAAAATAAAATATTGCAGACTATAATCACAGTTTACTAATCCATACCGTTGTCTAATGAAATTAAAATATTATACTTTACTCAAATAGACTTTTACAAGCACTTTTGAATCGTTAGTTTTAAACTTTAAATTAAAATGAAATGACAATATGTAAGTCTTAAGTAAGAAATTTCCGTTCGTTATTTTCGTTCGTTAAAAATCCGTTTAAAAATTTAGTCGTCCATTGTGCGTGGTATTTTGTATAAGAGTCAGGAAACAACATTAGGGTTAACTATATATAAATATATGACTTATAAGGAACTTGCTATGACATGGCACTACAATGCTTTAACTTTGAAACTGTTCGTCATGATAATTGGTATTTTTGACAATTCTTTCATTTATCAGGATTCATTCCATTAAAATAAATGGGAGATAGCATACTGTATGGGTTTTTAAACTGTACTATAATCTTGTTACATTTTATATTATCCGCCTTACTTATAAACCTTCAAATAGATTTTTTAAACAAAATAAAAAAAAGTTATGACATTAAATATATGTATATAAATAATAATTGTTTTTTAAACATATTATTAATAGATATAATAAAAAAATTGTTTATATAGGTATATATAGTTTATATAGGTAGTATATATAGGTATATGTAATGTGCATAGTAAGTAGATTCATTACTTAATAATTATTAAATAGTAAGGAAAGTAAATGAACATAGAATCAACAACAAAAAAAAAACAACAGTTTTTTTGTTGATTCTCTGGACATTTTTTTTAATTTCGAATTATAATAATAAATGTCTAATAGCAAGGGTGTACATTCTCATCTAAAGTGTTAGTAGAAACATAATATACTCACTTCTCTCGCTCTTCAAGTTCGACTGGATTGTTATCTGTTTGTTATTGTGTTATCGCGCAGCAAACAAAAAAAAACAACAATATTAGTTACAATACTGATTTAATTTATATCAAAAAATAGTAAATGTTATTTAGCAATTAATTAAATTCATTTAAGAAATTAATTATTGTATTATATTATTATCATTATATAGGAATACGAAATTTTACTATTTCTAATAAATACAATAATATTTAGATATGGAAAAATTTAAAAGTAATGGTAAATAATATTCCTATATATTAATAAAATTAAAAAAAATCATCCTTTTTAAAGACGTTTATAAATATTATGGGATTTTATTAAAATAAACAACAACAAGCAATAAATACAATAATTGTAGCAAAAAACTTTGCAACAGTAAAAAATAAAATTAATTATACAATGAACACAAAAAATATGACTAAGGAAATGATCGTCCTTTATTGAATAATAAAAAAAATGTTTTCGGAAATATTATTACGTGAGTTTAAGCTAAAATTTAAGACAAAAATGTATGTCTGTTAATTCAGACTTTTTTTATAATTGACAAGGATATTTTTAATTTATTAAGCAATAAATAATAATAATAAAATAAAAATGGTTAAATCGAAACATTGCTAAGTTTCAATTTAACCTCTTAAATTTTCAAGATGGGGCTTTAGCAATCTACCAATTCCAATACAAACCAGACTCATATAAGTAGTTGTTGTATGTTTAAAAACCTAATCTTTCTCTTTTTTAATTATGCACAAAATGTGTATGAAACATTAAATATAGTAACTTTATTTAAAAAAAATCTAATTAAATTTCGCGCAATAACTAGAGATGAATAAAAAAATCTACAATAACAACCCAAAAATCTCTTTCTTTTATAGAAATTTAAATATAGTACTACTGTTTGTTTCTCAAAAAACATCAAAACAAAACAAACATCACACAACAACAATGCACAAGCAAATAAATAAAACCATCTTTTCGAACTTATCCGCGGATTTATATAGATTTTTGGTTTACAGCAATCATGATGGCTATTTTCTCCCGTATATTATTCGAAACGTCGGGAACCAAATATAAAAATAAATCCGCGAAAACCGAAAATATAGTTATGTTTAAAATGTTAAAACAAATATAAAATGTACAAACAAACTCACATTTGGCTTTGGCCCTCATCCGCCGACAGACGCACACTATGAGCAGACACAGTACGACGCACAACACGAGCACTGCGAGCGAAATGGCGCCGATGAGGATCAGCTTCTGCTGGTCTCTCCACCATACCTTGTTGCCTGCAAATTATATTAAATACTATAATGATAATAATAATAGTTTATTTATTGAAGTATATATAAAGTGACAATATAAGAGGTTAAAGTAATAAAAGCAAGTAGTACAAAAAGGGTAAAAATAAGTTGAACTACTATTTCCTAAATTAAGCCAGGGACTGTTTTTTAGGTAAACTGTGTGTAAAATACTGGCGACTTTTCCTCGCTTCGCTCGGGTTCGTCCCTAGGTATATTTTAATTTCTTTGAGCGGAACCCTAATTCTTTTACTGAAATAAATGTAGCCTAAGTTACTCCTTATAACATCAGCTATCTGCCAGTGAAAGTCCCGTCAAAATCAGTCCAGTCGTTTCGGTGATTAGCCGGGACAAACAGACAGACAGATAGACGAAAAATGTATAGGTAAGTAAATGTATTTCTCAAAGTTGAAAAAAGGGCTGCAAAGGGTATAAATGAATAATTTTTGATTAAAGGAAGCGATTTTACGTAACTAATATAGATTCCTTTATTGGACGTATATGATAACCCTTATAAAAACCCTGAATAATATTTTTTCTCTAATATCTTCCATGTACAGAGTTAAAGTAATGTGTAAATTACGGTTATCTTGTATTGTATATTTCAATCTTTTGATTAAATATGCCTTACTTACTGTAGCTTTCCAAATTGGCTGCATGAGAAAACACGAATAAATGAAATAATTATTATTCATCATTTAAAGTGAAATGGCTCCATTAAGAAATTATAACCCAACATATAATATATAAAATTACATGAAATTCATAAAATTTTGCTTTTATTATCTACGTAAAAAAATTTAGCACCCATAAATATTTATAAAGTATGCAATAAATTAAAAAAATATAATCATCAATACTTTTATAGTCACAAATAAAACTTACCCTAATTAACGCTTACCCAAAAACAAGTGTCGACGTCAGATTTCCTATCGTCAACCCTATTGCCACGCCATGCAATTGTCGACGACACGTTTGGCTCAGTGTGTAGTGACCCTACTTGCTGTGCCAGCGGTCGCGGGTTTGAGTCCCGCTGGGGGCAGTCATTTGTGTGTTGAGCACGAATGTACTCAGTCATGGGTGTTTATATTCATAATATGTATGTATTTAAAGTTTATATATGTATAGTGTATCAACTATCTGGTATCCATAACACAAGCCTCGTAGCTTACCATGGAACTAGATGGTAATGTGTGTTAATGTCCCAACATATATATTTATTTATTATTGTATAATTTTAGTAAAAAAATATAAGAATTAACGAGTGCAAATAAATGTCAATTTATCGAAAAAATTGTAATTTTCTCAAGTCCTTTTATGTATTATTCAAAATAGTGATAATTAAGTGATAATAATTCAATTCATAAAAGTATGCAATTTTTTATCAATGTTTTCTTATGACGTTATCGCGTAAAATTATCGTCCGTAAACCGACTTTACAGAAAACCAATTTTTATTTGTGTAGTGCAAGTGTCGTGTGCAAGAAGTAGAATGAGGGTTATGTTAAATGATTTATTGACGTAGTGAGTGACGAAGTTGTATTTGATAGTTTGATTGGTTTAGTGTATGGCTCGATATAATAAACTTAATAAAGCGTTTTATGCTAAAGGAAATAGGGTCGACAATAGGAAATCTGGTGTCGACACTTACTTTTTGTTAACTTAGTTACTTTTTGTTTTGTTATTTTTACCTTACCCAAAAACAAAACTTACCCATAACATCTCTCTCACACGCGCGCGACATTCCGACACTGTTGTTCGCGAAGCACAGGTAAGTTCTGTAAACGTCCACACTCGAACTCAGTTTGAGGAAACTTTGGGCGCCATTTTGCCAAATCTGTTCGTCTGTCAAACTGTCATTGTCGTTTTTCAATTTCCACGAGAATGACACCTGTTGTGAATAGAAATAAAAACGTTTATACTTTCTTAGTTTTATGCGAATATTCTGATGTTTTTAATAAAGAAAGTTTTATCTAAAGTGTCAAATATTCGTGTAATTTAAGAAATTAATTACCTCAGAAGGGTTCGCGTGCGCGGTGCACACCAACACTTGCTCGCCTTTAATTTCTACTTGCTTTATCCCACATTCAGGTATAACTAAAAAATATTGAATATTATTTTTGATATTAGCTAAACAGGTTTTATTCGAAAACAAGCCATTGCTTATACTTTGTTCTAATCTTTTAACAGTTGTCGATTACCACAATGCTTTAAAAAGTTAATGAATAAATTTTGATAGCGTGTTTAGTTTTGTTCCTCTTTAATATTTCTCAGAAATCAACGTGTTTTTAAAATTAATCAATTTTTAAAAGTAATGTATAAAAAAGTGATAAAATCCGAAGTTTGACACAATGTAACTAAATAACATCATTTTACCATTACTCTTAATAACAATTTTTAACAATTATTCTTAAGAAAATGATGAAATAATAATTATATAATTATATAGTGAATAGTAGAATTAAATAGTGAATGTGTGTCGGTAGTCCTTTACACTGACACTGCTAGACAAATTTGGATAAAATTTAGTACGAAAATAGGCTATGACCTGGAGTAACAGGTAGGCAAATTAAATCAATACATTACTATAGTTACTACTAGCGACTCACCCTCGTTCCGCTCGGGTTCGCCCCTACTTACGATTTCACGTTTAGTATAGATTTCTCAGAGATGTGATATTTTCCCGCAGTAAAAATCTTATATCTTGTATGTTGGACCCGGATACTCAGCTATTATTATCATCAAATCTATCCAGTGGTTTTCCCATGATGCGGTGATAGACAGACAGACAAAAATTCTAAAAAGTATAAATTCAACCTCTGTATCGATAAGAAAGTCTATTTCAATAAGATTTTCCAAAAAATATTTAATGTACAAATTATGCTTAGTTACAATTTTATTATATGTATTGATAACATTAGCACTCACACATGACGTCCAGTATGAAGGTGGTGTTGACGGCGCCGTGCCGGTTGTACGCCTCGCACGCGTAGGCGCCGGCGTGGCGCCGCGCCGCCGCCGGTAACAGTAACGCGTTCCCGGACGACAGCACCAGCGACGCGTTCCCGTGTTCCCGCGCTGCGCTCTTCGACGCGGGAACGCGCCGCCACGTGTAGCTCGGCATTGGGAACCCGCTGGGAACGTTTTGCAGTTTTAAGTATATATATATTATAGACTGGGTATTAAGAAGGTTTCTGCCCGGCCTATCCTTATACGTTTCTCTAATGTTCAACTGCGCACTCATGTCTGGAAGGCTAAAACTGCATTGAAGGGCTCCAAGATAACGTTGTCGGAGTTTCTGACAAAAACCCGGCAAGAAGTGTTTACCGCTGCTCGCAAACATTTCGGCATTAAAAAATGCTGGTCTGCAGACGGCGTGATTGTTATACTCCTTCCGGATAAAACCCGCACTAAGATCACCACTTCATCGGAGCTTAAACAAATCATCACTCAGTATCCTCATAAATCTGTATCGAACAACGATGAATAGTGTATTTTGTTTACTCTATTTGGATTTGGTCGCATTATACTGTGTTCTATAGTTATCACTTATGTATAATTCGTAATACATCTATTTGTTACACTGTAGGGTATAAAAATATTACTTATCCGTTCATTTTATATTTAAAATTTAAAAGTTATATACAGTTAGTTACTGTTTGTTTCTGTCATTCACTTTTAATTGTCAAATGTGATGTGTTAAAATATTATGGTAAACTGTCAACGTCATATTATTGCGTTTAGTTTTTGCATATTTCCTATATGGTCTACATTTCTTGTCACAGATAATGTTAACAGTTTCTTGTAATGTAATCTGACTTCTTTTTTTTTCTCTTTTAAATTTTAATTTAAGTGTTGTCAATGTGGTACTTTTGTTTTCGTTATTTATTCTCACAGTTAACTTATGCACGTGAATAGTGTCCATTGCACATTATTATTATTATTTCTTATTAATACATATTTCTAGTTTATTTATTTATTATATTAGTACATATTTTATTATTTATATAATATTAAAATAATTTTTAATATAAATTATGATAGATGATCAATATGTTTCTTGTTCTTCAGATGAATATGAAAGTGCTGGCAGCAACAGCACATCACTATCTGACTCAGCACCGCTTCCAGATAAACTCACTAATGCTTTAAACGATAGATCGGCTTCTCTCTCCTTAGTGCATATCAACGCGCAGAGTATACTTGCTCATTATACCGACTTTCTCGCATCTTTTAGTACCGGCGTAGTTGACTGTATACTCGTGTCTGAAACCTGGCTTAAACCATCATTACCTTCCACTAGTTGCGCTCTCCCAGGTTACAAATTATATCGTAATGACCGCTCTGGCCGAGGTGGAGGTGGCGTAGGTATCTACCTTCGCTTCAGCCTTTCTGCCAGAGTTGTGTCTTTATCCCCTCAAAATCCCTCAGGATCTCTCGAGTATCTCTTCTTAGAAATTACTGTACACCATAAAAAAATTTTGCTTGGAGTGCTTTACTGCCCAAATGACAAAATTAATTACTTTACTGACCTAGAGTGTATATTTGACAATCTTGTAACTCTATATGATGAAGTGATTTGCATGGGTGACTTAAACACTTGTTTACTAAAAAATGACACGAGAGCCCAAACGTTACATGCACTAACTGATTCTTTCAATCTGCATATTCTTCCTTTGTCTTCTCCCACCCACTATTTTCCTAACTGTAGGCCTTCTCTTATTGATTTAATTTCCGTCTCGAGGCCTAATCTTGTAATATCTCACGGCCAAATGACTGCCCCTTTCTCTTACCATGATTTAATTTACCTATCATATAAACTGCGTTCTCCAAAGGCTAGAGGCAAAATTCTTTTCCAGCGCGACTTTAGGCATATGGATCTGGAACGCTTAAGAGAGGATGTGAAGAATTGCAACTGGTCATCTGTATTCTCATCAGATAATATTGACAGTATGGTTGAGTCATTAACTACTGAACTGATTAGACTTTACGACATTCACGCCCCGGTAAGACCAGTTCGCATGAAGCATGCTCCAGCCCCTTGGTTAACACCCCTAATCAGGAGAACTATGGCTAAGCGCGATAGGGCAAAATCTAAAAACAAAAAATATCCAACTGAAGAAAATCTTTCTGCATACAAAAAGCTTCGTAACATCTGCAACAGGATGTGTAGGGATGCCAAACGTCGGTATATTCATACCACAATTCAGGGTCTCTCCCAATCGCAAGTTTGGAGATTCCTCGAGTCACTTGGTGTGGGCAAGAACCCGAATTCGGGCGAAGTCTCGGTTGACCTCAATAAACTAAATCGTTATTTTGCTACCCCACCTTTAACATTAAATCAACAAATCAAATCTGCTACCCTTAATCACTTATCTAGTATTGTCCCACCAGACTCGTTCTCTTTTTCTTTCAAACCAGTCTCAGAAGATGTCATTAAGAAATGTATTCGTTCCATCACTACTAAAGCCATCGGTAGTGACAACCTCAGTCTCGACATGATTCTTCCTGTGTTGGACTGCATTGCTCCAGTTTTCACCCACATCATAAATTACTCACTGACCTGCAATATTTTTCCAACACAATGGAAGAATGCACTAGTCGTACCCTTACCCAAAGTCCCAAATCCATCCAGCCTCAATGATTATCGTCCTATATCTATCCTTCCCATTCTATCCAAGGTCCTTGAATCTATAGTCCATAATCAACTTTACTCCTACCTTACCTCCTATAATCTATTATGTCGTTACCAATCTGGTTTTCGTCCCTATCACAGCACTGTTGGTGCGCTGCTGAACATCACGGAGGACATTCGGTACGCTATGGATAACACTAAGCTTACTGTGATGGTACTTCTTGACTTTAGTAGCGCATTCAACTCTGTAGACTTCGACATCCTTCTTGGCACTCTTCGCGCAGTTAACATTTCCCCTGCGGCTACAGACTGGTTTAACTCATATCTCTTCGGGCGTCGCCAGTGTGTGAGAGCTAATGACACTTCATCAGTGTGGTTGGATCTCACGGCTGGGGTCCCCCAAGGCGGCGTTCTTTCACCACTGCTCTTCTCTATCTTTATTAATAATATATCTCGCGCCATATCTTCTCCCTACCATCTGTATGCAGACGATTTACAACTCTATCGTCATTGTGAGTTGAACGATTTGCCTGATGCTATTCAAAATTTAAATAATGACTTAATCGCTATTCAAACTTGGGCCGAATCTTTCGGTCTCTTAGTTAATGCAAAGAAGTCTCAAGCAATAATTATTGGCAGCAGCAGGTTAAGGTGCAGAATAGATTGGAAATCAGTGTCTGCGATTACTTACTCTGGAGTTCCAATTCCTTACTGCGATAAGGTAAGGAACTTGGGTCTCATTATGGATTGCAATATGACTTGGACACCTCATATCAATGAAGTTAGTAGGCGTATGCACTTCACTTTCCATTCTCTTAAGCGTCTCCAATATTTTCTCCCCTTCAAAACCAAAGTTATGCTTGCGCAATCTCTTCTACTACCCATACTCGACTACGCCGATGTATGCTATTTAGATGTGACAGAGGAGCTACTGAATAAACTTGAGCGTCTCCAAAATCTCGCCATACGCTTTATCTATGGTCTACGCAAGTATGATCATGTCTCCGAATTCCGAGCTCAACTTCAATGGCTCCCTATCCGCCTTCGCCGTGATATGCACATCCTTTTGTTTCTATTTAATATTCTTCATAATCACAATTTTCCTTCTTACCTTCGTTTCCGGTTCAACCTGCTTCCGACTCCTACACGTTCCAGGCGGCCCTGCATCACATCGATGCTTGAGATACCGACAAGTAACACCAAGTTTTTACAAAACTCTTTCTCGGTACGTGCTGCAGTGTTATGGAATAAACTTCCTAAAATCCTACAGGAGAGCCCTTCTACAGCTGTGTTTAAAACGAACATAAAAAAGCATTTTCTAGCTCAATCTTGAACAATATATTTTTCTGTTTAACATTTATTTGCATATGTATGTTTATGTATATATTTATATGTACGTATATATTTATATAGTTTTAGTATGTATTAGATTACATGTTTATATTATATATCTATAATTGTATTTATGTATTTATGTTATATAATATGTATATAATTAAAATATGTATATGTTTTTTATATTTTCATATATGTATATTAATGTATTCATATATTTAACTTTTATTTATGTGTCATACTTATATACTTTACTATAACAAAAATTCTGCACTTTCTCTTTCTGTCCCGCTATTTAACACTATTTCCCACATGCATGGGTTGACTGGAAGAGATCTCTTATAGAGATAAGTCCACCTTTGTCCACGTCACTTTCTATGTATTTTGTTTTTTATAATTTATTTGTGCAATAAAGAATATATATATTTAATACATATATGACGTATTTATACATGGTTTTTTTTAAATGAGTATGAGACATATCATAGACGTTTTGTCTTATGATTTAAAAAAAATATTTATAGTTTTTTTTATTATATACAAGCAGTTACAATCTTTTTAGTTTGATAAAGTATTTGAATAATATAAATAGAATTTATAATTGATTTAGCGACCAAAACCTTACTAAAACAAATGTATAATAGAATATAAGGGAATTCAACAACTTACTTGGCAGAGCACACGACTTTGGCCGGGATTTCATTTTCTATGACTGACACGACGGCTGGCGTCACCGTGATGTTTTCTGGTTCATCTGCACAGAGAATATAAGAATGTTGAATTACTATTTTAATTGCGAAGGTTTGTATATGATTTGTTATCTTTACGCTGAAACGTCAGAAACAGATAGTCTATGATCTGGAATAACACAGGTTACTGTCAGGCATATAAAGATACATTTGAGCAAATCCAAATCGATAGTAATATTATGAATATTCAATTCAATTACATTTTATTGTATACTAGCGGCTCACCCTCACTTCGCTCGGGTTCGTCTCTAGAAAAATGAAAACAAATCTATCCCTCGGGAACCGTATATTTTTCCGGGATAAAAGTAACCTGTGTTATTCCACACTATAATCTATATCTGTGCCAAATTTCATCCAGATCCGTTAAGCCGTTCAGGCGTGAAAGAGTAACAAACATCCATACATACTCACAAACTTTCACATTTATAATATTTATATACCGACTAAGAAAAAGATATAAACAAAAATAAATAAACACAAACTAAACTTAAATTTTTCTTCTACACAAAGAAAAGATTTACAGAAGGGGGCCTTATCGCTAAAAGTGATCTCTTCCAGGCAACCTTGAGGTGAAAATATTGGAATAAATATTATATTATTATGAATAATATTGTCGACGATACGGCACGTTTGGTTCAGTTTGTAGTGATCCTACTTGCTGTGCCAGCGGTCGCGGGTTCGAATCCCGCTGGGGGGCATTCATTTTTGTGATGAGCACGAATGCTTGTACTCCAGTCATGGGTGTATTTATAATATGTATGTATTTAAAGTAATACTTGTAGTGTACCAAACATCTGGTATCCATAACACAAGCCTCGTAGCTTACCATGTTATCATTAATGTCCCGACATATTTATTTATTATTTAAATATATGTATGTATATGTTATTTAAATATAATATATTTATTTAAATTAAAATGGATATAGTATGTTATCCTCAAGAGATAGACATATGCCATCGCGGGCTTTTCTGTAGACCTATATAAGATACACAATTTCACCATACATCATTTTGTTATATCTCAAAGGGTGGTAGCGTTTTCGTTGAAAGCTCCCAGAGGGCTTATTGTATATTATATTATAGCCAATGTATACAATAACTTAACAAATTATATACTAAAACCTTCCTTGAGAACCACTCCATCCATTGGTGAAAACAGTATGAAAATCGGTGCCGTAATTTTTGAGTTTACCGCAACAGACAGACAGATGCGGCGGAGGACTTTGTCTTATAATATGTAGTGATTTATTTATTCCCTCAACGACCGGCACACCGGTGAGTTACAGTTAATAATGTTTTTTTTAGAAATTTAATTAATTTCTTAGTTTACCTGGAGGAGTTATTGTAAAAGTTCTAAAATTGAAAGGAAAAATGAGTATACAATTCTTTGTAGATATCTACTGGGAGTAATAGGAAGGTAAATCTAGATTCTATCACAATATTAATAGTAAGATACTCACATTCGACAGCGAAGTTGGTGGTGCTGGCGACAGGGGGGCCGGCGGCGTTGCGCGACGAGCGGCACGTGTAGCGCGCCGCGTCGCCGCGCGACAGCACGCCGCCGGCCCACGCAGACATGTTCCAGTGCTGCGGCGGGGTGCAGGGTTATGTTATTATAGTTTATTTTAAATCTTAATATTATATATTTAAATTCTTCTGTACGTGTGTTTGTTACCCTACTCCTAAAGGGCTAGACCGATTTGGATAAAATTTTGTGTATATATTTCAATGGGCATCTGGATGGTTTGAAAACACAAATTTACCCAGTAGCTGGCGCTGCAGTCGGTGCGCCATCTCCTAAACGGCGGGGACGATTTTAATGATATTTTTTGTGTATGTTCCAGTGGGTATGGACAAGGTTTGAATTTACAAATGAATCAGGTAGGTGGCGCTGCAATCGGTGTGTCACTAAATTTTCATAAAAGACTGCATTTTCCGAGCAATAAATAAATTTAGATTATGTTATATTATGTGTATATATGTTTCCTATGGACTGCAAAACAGCTGGAGCCATTTTGATGAATTTTCAGGTAATCTTCAGATTAGCCCAGCGGGTGATCCTGTGAATTTTGTTGGCAATCGGAAGTTTGGACGCGGGCGAAGCCGCGGGTACTACTAGTATATTGTAAATAAGCTTAACAAAATACAGTAAGAGAAACCTTTGTGAGAGACTGGTGTCTGTACTAAGTAAAAAAGAAAATGCATTACAGATCGCCAGACACATGCCCTCATTTACAATTATCTTATTACATTTAGACGATTTAGTGTAGACCTTAATTATCTATACATATTATAAAATTGTAACTAAGCCGAATCTGTACATTAAATATTTTTTAAGAAATATTATTGAAATAAACATTATTATCGATACAGAGGCCGAATCTATAGTTTTTAGAATTTTTGTCTGTCTGTTTGTCTGTTACCGCATCACAGAAAAACCACTAAAGGGATTTTGATGAAATTTGCTATGATGATAGCTGGTTATCCGGATCAACATATAGGATCCTTTTTACCGCGGGAAAATATCTAATTTCTGAGAAAAAATGCAAAAACTGCAGTGTAAGAGTATACTAACTATAAAACCTAAGAATTTGATTTTTGGTCATCTGAACGCGGGCAATGCTAGTGTTATATAAATATGGAATTACAACGAGTAGTGTGCAAATGTGGTATAGTGTAAGGTTATGTATAGTGTGGTGGTGCGACGTGACTGCCGGAGCACTCACCAAGGTGGACTCGGTCGCCTCGAAATCGTTCCGGTTGCCCTGCGGCTCGATGCGGCGCTCCACCACGTAGTACTTGCGCGTCCGCGCGGGGTCGATGCGCTCGCCGTCCTTCAGCCACTCCACCGAGCACAGCGGCGCGCACTCCACCGTGCACGACAGCGAGATGTTCTGCGGTTTTGTATTTATGCTAATAATTATATCCTATCCCAGTCTATGCATGATAGGGATATCTTATGGGAAAGACATGAGGTTTTGTATTTATGGCATTAATGATATCCTTTCCGAGTTTATGCATGATAGCGAGATGTTCTACGATTTGGGGGATGAGTGGGCTTTTGTATTTATGGCTAAAATCTATACTAATATTATAAAGAGGTAAAGTTTGTAAGTTTGTGAGTTTGTGACGTTGTAGGGGGTAATCTCTGGATCTACTAAACCGATTTAGATGAAATTTGATAAAAGATAGTTTGGGGCCCTGTAAAGGACATAGGATCCTTTTCATCCCGCATTCATCCCTTAAGGGGGTGAATATGGAGATGAAAGTTTGTATAGGGAATCAACCTAGGAACGAATTCGAGCGAAGCGAGGGCTAATCGCTAGTATATAATATTAAAAAAGAAATTTGATTTCTTGTATATTTGCTTGTAATGGACAAACAAAAATACTTCTAGAGCGTTTTAAATATTATTTCACCTAATACGACTGTTTGTACGATAGAAGTATGTCCTGGAAAACACAAAAGCTTTTGTTTTTGAGACGTTAATAAATATCCTTATCAATATTACCGTCTGTACGACAGAGATATGTTCTGGGAAATACATAGAGTTTTGTATTTATGAGAATAATATTTATTCTTATTATTATATAATTTATATCCTGGAAAACGCAGTTTAATATTTGTATATTAAATATCCTTTATACTTCTAAATCTAAAAAAGTATTTATTCTAAAGTTTCAATAAACTCTAAAAATATATGTTTATAATAATTTTATTTCCAAAAATTCTTAGTACCTACTTGAAATAATATTTACCTGAGATTTGTATAAAGCCCCGCTGTAGTGATTCATCGCGTACTTAAAGCTTGGTGGAGCTGGAAAATGTACAATAATATTATTTAATACTAGTTTCAAATTTTTTTATATTGATTGTGTCGTACAAATTAGTTAATCCTTTTAGCGTTCTATAAATGATCTATTATGACAAAGATCTTGGAAGCAGTAAGTGTCTCGGTGGTGTAGTCGCTAGCATATGCGGCACATCCTCGGGTCCTGGGTTCGAGTCCCGGATCGGGCCAAGTTTTGTTATTGAGTATTTCTATTAAGAAATTCTCAGTAATAGCCCGGCGTTGGGAAGTTGATGGTGTTTCACCCCCATGTCGAGGCAGAACCGATCGCATCGGTACTATGACTGATCTCTCACCAATCGTGTCGAAGTATCGTCCCATAGGACTTTGAGAGTATAAGGAATCTCCGTGTAGACAGTTGTGCACTCTTTATTAACTTAATTAATATCTTCTGCGTAAATGTCACTATTATTATAGACATCATTATTACCTCTTACAGTTTGCTATTTCCTACACCTAAAGGTTGCCTGGAAGAGATCGCTGTTTAATCATAAGGTCGCTTCTTGTACATCAATCTGTTCTGTATTCATTTATTTTTTCTTGGTGTATAATAAAGAGTTTTTATGTAATATTTTCTCATATTTAAGCTGGTATATTTGCATATACGGGTCTCGACCAAGTAAACACAGTGTGTATTTTATGATGGTTCTGTTTGAGTATGTTGTTTTTCGCTTATTTGCAAAAAAAATTCTAACCAATCTAACGATACGTTTAGCTCAGTTTGTAGTGACTACTTGCTCTACCAGCGGTCGCGGGTTCGAACCCGCGAGTCCCGCTGGGGGCATTCATTTGTGTTGATGAGTACGAAAGTTTGTAGGCCATGGGTGTTTATATTTATAATATGTATGTATTTAAAGTTATATACTATGTGTAGTGTATCAAATGTCTGGTATCCATAACACAAGCCTCGCAGCTTACCATGGAACTAGATGGTGCTGTGTGGTAATGTCTCAACATATTTTTTATATATTTATAATCTACAAGTATTTAGTATGGCTGCTTTCTGTAACGTGATATATATATAGGAAAAGTTTATCATTATTATTATGTCCAGCCACTGACCGAGCACGTCGACATCGACGACGCCGGGCGCGCCCTCGCCGCCGCCGCCGACGCCGCGGCACGCGAAGGCGGCGCGGTGGTCGAGCCCCACCGGGTCTAGCGTCCACTCGCGCGACACCACGTCCGACACCACGCGCCCGCCGCGGTGCCAGCGGTATCTGCGAGAGCGGGACACATGCATATTTATATATAGGGAGAGAATGAGACGGGAGCTGTGCCGGCCAGATGAGCCGTGAGACATGTGTACGTATGCAGGGAGAGCAGTGTGGGGGATAGCGGTACCTGCGAGAGCGGGACACATATCCATACTAATATTATAAATGTGAAAGTGTTTGTGTGTTTGTTTGTTTGTTTGTTTGTTTGTAAAAACACATTATAATACAATCCACATATATGGAAGGGGGGGGGGAGGGTGATGGTTAATAGGATTCAGGTGACAGAGTTCGAATAAGGAGTTAATGAGGGAAAAATTAAAGTTTGGTTGACAGAGTCCAAATAATAAGAGTATGTGTAAGTGAGGGAGAGAGTGAGAGAGAGAAGTTATATTTTACATACTTTTAAAAGTAATATATGTATTTATTGCGTCTGTTAACGCAACTATAAGCCATTATAAAAAAAAAACATATTTATTTTTATAATGCATTTGAGAAATCTGTGTAACATCTTACTAAAAAAATATATTATTTTTATAATGCACTTTAACAAACTCTATCACTTATAACATATTTCTTTTTAAATAATTGTTTCTTGAAAATACCAAAAGATTTTTCAAAATATTTAACACTATGTCCAATTTTTACCGATTTCTTATATACATATATAAATTATGTTTTTTTTTCATACCTAAATAAAATTAATTTAATAATTAACATATTTTAAAAGTACTCATATTTAGATAAATAATTTATTGCGAGTAAAAATATATACAGAATACCTGTGAGCTTCTGGCCTTCCTTTCTCCTCTATAGTGCAGGTCAGCACGAGGGACTTCCCCTTTATAACTCTCCACGGGGAATAAGTTAGTTTCGCCGGTCCGGGCGGATCTAATGAGTGAATTCAGATAATTTAGGATTATTATTATAAATAATTAAAAATTAATATAAAAAGACGCAGTGGTAGCCCAGTGGTAACGCGCTCGCTTAGGAAAGCGAGTGAAGCGGGTTCACATCTCGGGTGTCGCAGTTCTGATATGTTACGTAAACCCAGCAAAGCGGACGGTTTAAATACGTTGTTAATTTAATAAATTAATATTGTAATAGTTACTTAATCGGCTAAGTTAGTCTGTCGGCTAGTTTAAGTAATTATTTTCATTTTTAGTTCAGTTGAAACGAAATATATTGTAACTTTGGATATTACCAGCTTTTCCTGTTTATGGCTTTATAGTTTTTTTTTGTAATGTATGTATTCAGTCCTTTTTTACGTCCCACTGCTGGGCAATGGGCGTGGGCCTCCCTTCAATACAAGATGATCAGGCCACAGTCGACCACGCTGGCGAAGTGCTAGGCGAACACATATCTTTCGAAAACTTGCTAGGTTCTCTCAGACGTGCAGGTTTTCTCACGATGTTTTCCTTCATCATTAACTTTAAGGAAGTTAAATTTAATTTAACAATATACAATAACTTACAATTAACCACTAATTCAGTCTTTTCACTCTCATTGCCCCAACCCGCGTAGTTCTTGCCCTTACACGAGTAGTTCCCGTGAAAACTCTTAGTAGTGTCTTGCAGTAACAGCATCGATGGATCCACTTCGTTACACAAATTATCTGAAATAGTAAGGTAAAATATATTTTTTGAGCGAAATCCTAATTCTTTTTCTAATATAAAAGTAACCTAAGTTACTTCTTACAACATCAGCTATCTGCTATTGGAAGTCCCATTAAAATCAGTCCAACCGTTCGGCCGGAACAAACAGACAGACAGACAAAAACTTTGAAAATTGTGTTTTTTATAAGTACTGTATATAATGTCATATGGATTTAGTAAAAAGCTGTAATTTTGACAATTCAAACAGACATTTCAATTTATTTATCAGTTTAGATTTTATTAATCAAAAATTATTTACAAACATAAAAAAAACTCGACAGCGTAAAAGGAGAAGTATAAAGATAGATAGAAAATAAGTCGACGAAGGAACATATAATATAATTGTTTGAATATGGTCATAAACCAGAGCGAATCCTTTTTATATTTATTATCTATGCGACTCGAGCGCCCACTTGCGTTGTTTTTTCGTTTCGCTTTCCCTCGTTTTTGTTGTAACCGGTGTTGGATATACATTGTAATATTTAATGCTTCATTAAATTACTAATTTGAACAATAAACTAGCTTTATTTCGTTACTAAAATTATGCAGTTGGTTTATCATATATTATAAAACATGTACATATGTATGTAGTATACTCACCATCAGTCCCATTACATTCTGGCAGATGTTTTAATATTTCTCCATCGAGGTACCAAATAACTTCATCTAGAACCGGGGGATTCCCCTTCACTACCTCACACGTGAGGGTTACGTTTTTGTGATCAGTCTCAAGAATTGGGCTTGGAGAGCTCATTGTGAGACGAACTTGTGGCTTGACTGGAAAAATATAGTAAATAAATTATAATTACATTTAACTTGTATTGGCTATTTACTATGTATTGAGAAGTGAATAAAATTAATATAGAAGGTACATTATATATAAGTGACAATAAGATATTTAATATTTCTATTAGCTACATGTTAGACAGAAAATCTGCCTTATTTAGCACTTTTATATTCGGTTGATTTTATTCTTAATATCGTATTTATAGATAAACTAGCGGCTCACCCTTGGTTCGCTCGGGTTCGCCTCTAGGAAAACAAAACCAAACCTATCCCACAGGAATCGTATATTTTTCCGGGATAAAAAGTAGCTATGTGTTATTCCAGACTATAATCTATCTCTGTGCCAAATTTTATCCAGATCCCTTCAGCGGTTCTGGCGTGAAAGTGTAACAAACATCCATACATCCATACTAACAAACTTTCACATTTATATTATTAGTATAGATATCGCAGTTTAACTAATCGAAAATGCATCAAAGTAATAACATAAAAAGAAAAAATAGTATCAATACTATGTATCTAGTGTATTGTACCTAATGTCTAGCAAACGCCAATTATAATTATTAGTGCCCAATCGGGTATCGAACCTGTTAACTAAAGACAATACTTACATAGAACATTCACGTATATACTTTCATTCGTGGTCCCGTTCCCTACATTGTTGGCCATGCTGACAGTATAAAAATAGCCATTATCGTCCTCATTAGCATCTAAAATGATAAGGACGTGCTGTTCACTTGTACCGCCTTGATAGTGCGAGTTGTTGACATTGATTCTAGTTCCGTTGCGATACCTGTAAATTGGTAAAATAACACTTAGAAATTTTCTTCTTTAATATTTATTTTTATATAAGAATACTAGCGACTCACAGTCGCTTCGCTCGGATTCGTCCTTTCGTACGTTTTACTGTTTTTTGTTTATTTATAAAATAGACTTTATATATATGTACACAAAAATGTATCTCAAACTATCTTCTCACCAAATTTCATCTAAATCGATTCTGTAGTTTTGGAACTTATTCGGTACAAACAAACACAAACAGAAATGTTTCTCTTTCTTCTTTATAATACTAGTATAGATAACTTAGATTAATGTACTCATAACAAAACAATAATTAATAAAAAAACTTTGTTTACTTCTATAATAAGAATTTTTAAAACTTCTAAAATTTAAAAACTTTTTTCTGTGCATGCTGTGTTTATTTGTAAGTAATCACCATATTAAGATTCTATTTCCTAGTTATACTTTTATTGTGTAATAGATTGTAAATAAACCTAGTAATAAAAAAATAAGTTAAAGTGATTATATTCTCTGCCCTTTGCAAATATCAATACAAAAATACTAAAATTTCTAAAGAGAACAAGTTACAAAACTGTCGTGATGATACTCATTTAGAGCCCATATTACCTCACTCTATCATAAAAGTCCGTTAATAGAGCTAATTAAAGCTATACCCTCAAAAATTTCATTCCTGAACAATTCTGAGACGTCATGCGTGCTGAAAGCTATATAGTGGATCTATAGGCATGTGTCTTGAGTCTTATCTTACTGAATACGTTCAAAGAATTGAGACGCTCTTGAGTATTTCCAAGTAAAACCGTTTAAGAAAAAATGGGTTCAGGATAATATTTCATAGATTTTTTTTCTTACTTTACTTACTTACTTACTTTATACTTTACAAATGATAGACATTTTCAATTTGACTTTTGAAAACTAAATCTAAAGTTCCCTCAAGAGCTATTTCCATAAATGTAAGTATATATAGGGTAAGTATTGACCAAAACGTATATTTTTTAATGTTGGAAAATGCAGTGTGCCGAAGCAGGCCACATAACCAAGGGGTTGCTCCTATGATCCACTCTGCTGTCAGAGAAGTACCAGGGGCAACCCGCAACGTACACCGTCCGCCAAAGTGGGCTACCTCCCTGTGTGTCTGGGTTGCCGGACGCTTAGATCATTATTTATATATTTATTGATATCATTTATTGTGAAATAATCAGTCAAAATGACAAAAATTTGCAATAGTGAAAGAAACAGCTGTTCATACCAAAAAATATTCAATATATTGGAGTACCCCCAAAAGTAATATCTTAACGTATTCCGTATCAACCGAGCGAGAAATAAGATTCTTTATTCCCATACACGTTAAGCAGATTACTTTGAATTTATGTAACCACTGAACTTAAGGAAAGCAATTCAAACAAATGATTACAACGTGCCTTAAAGATTGAAACGTATTTAATTTAATCGTTCCCAAATATACCATTCGAATGTTAGCAATTTATTCTTCAACATTTATGAACTTATGAATTAAGCTCAGACTAAATTATTATATAAATGGAGCGCGCCGAAATAAATATGAAAGTGAAAAATAGTAGCGTGTTTTGCTATTTATGATACTATTTTCAATTTTGTCATATAGATTTTTGAAGAGAAAATACGAATAATAAAAATAATACTATATATTTTTTTTCTTATTTTAAGAAGAGATATAGCTTTTTTTGTTAGCTTTAAATATATATGTATATATTTTCCTTACTATAATAGAATCCGTTAAGCATTTTGAAATATGTAATGAAAATTCTTTCAATAATTGTATAGGTACTATTTTAAAACATTATATTGTGGCTTCATGTTTAGTTCTATGACACTCGCTCTATATTATTCCTTAGTCTGAAGAGTTAATTTTATTAAGTCGCTACGTTTATTTACGTGGCAATAAACTCTATTTGTCTTGTGTAAATTCCAAAGGATTTTAATTTATTTACTTAATACTTTTTTATATCAAAAATATGATGTTATACAGAAAATGTAAAAGCTACATAAACATATTATAGTATTTTGGCTGTAAAAGCAGCGTTTAGCAATCTGATTTTTTATAAAAAAATATGTAAAAAGCACATGTCCAATATTTTACGTTAATATTTAACGTTATGATGCAAAAAACAAGATCTTTCTTTGATGATTAATTGATATAAATTAAAAAATATAATTATAATGTTTTCTTTCTCATATATTTTATATAATTTAAAATACGTTATGAATTTAGATTTAAATAGCGACTCACCATCACTTCGCTCCAGCTCGTAACGAAGAAGAAGCGAGGGTGAGTTGCTAGTTTTCAAATAGATACTTACCAAATTACTTCAGTCAAGGACGATGGGTTGCTAACGTATTCGCTTTTGAGAAGAATCTTCGAGCCTTCTATCACTGTGATGTTTGGTGGACCTAAGTGAACTATTGGTGGATCTGGAAAATAATAACTTGTAATGAGATTCTGAACATTAATATTTTTTCATAATATCTAATGCTATAGTTTTAATGTTTTTTTTTTATTTATTCGTTAAAAATGGTGTTATGCTGATACCAGACATATGCACATTGCACATACGACTTAGTACATTCTATGTAGGTTCCACTTTTCCTAAGGTACCGACCCTTTAAAAAATTATTTGAATGGTCGTATTTTTGCCTAAAACGGTAATAGAACCCACGATTGCTGACGCAGACAGTATGAAGAAATGCTTATATACGAGATGGTTTAATTACCCAATGAACACTTACACCAAACCTCCAATTCCTTAGTGGCATGTATGGGATGCTCATTAGTGGTCACCATGACTTCATTGACAGCTTGACAGATGAATTTCCTTCCATTTTCGTATCTTGTCGCTTCGAAAGTCAGATTTGATTTTGTTTCAAATGTCGTATCGTTCTAGAAGAAGATGAAAAATGAAATTAAAGATTAGCTTTGATCATTTAGGGTCGACCTACACTATAGTGCCGATCATAGTTCGTTCTCGGTCCGATATCGGTCTGGTAAAGGTTTTTATAGGTACAAGAAATGTTGCTGGATTGTGATTCAACCGGATAGTGTGTCTTACTGATAGTGTTAACGCACTCATTTCATAAATAACAATATTTTACCAGACCGATATGGAACCGAGAGAGACTTTCGTGAGGATCTCTAATATTTTTTTTTTTTTGAAAATAAAATATGGCCCATGTTACTCGCAGATAATGTAGCTTTTGATAGCTGAAATAATTTTTAAAAACGTTCCAGTATTTTTTAGTTTATCCATTACAAACAAACAAACATAAAGACTTATTTTTCTCTTTATAATATTATAAAGAGGTAAAGCTTGTGAATTGTGAGTTTGTGACGTTGTAGATTGTAATCTCTGGATCTACTGAACCGATTTTGATGAAATTTGGTAAGAAGATAATTTTTTATCCCGCAAAACCATCCCAGACAGGAGTGAAAATGGGGATGAAAGTTTGCATGGAGAATAAAACTTAGGGACGAACCCGAGCAAAGCGAGGGTGAGTCGTTACTTGCTAGTATTATAATATTAGTATAGATAGTACGAGTATATGCAAATATAGAAAGCACCAATGGTGAGTTCATGGTGTCTTTCGCAGTTGCAGCGAGCGAGGCGAGGGTGCGTTGCTAGTGAATAATAAGTGGCTTAATAGATTTAAATGGCAAAATGTATTCTATAATGTTTTTGACATATATCAAAATGAAACAGCGATGGCATTAAGCAGTTAAACGTTGAATGTTGCAAACAGTCTGAGAGTTGTAAAATTTTAATTGTTCGCCCTTAAGGCTCTTAATAATTTTGAACTGTCAGTCAGTCTTTATGAACTTTTGATGTAGATTTAAAGTGCGTGGTAATGACAGTTTATAAGCTTTTAAAAACTTAAATTGTTAGTTTTTGTTGTGAATTTAATGTAGGAGTAATAAAAGTTTTAAGTAAAATTTTGTATTTTAGTATAAAAAATTGTTTACTTTAATATTTTACATTATGTTCATTGTACATACATAATATATTTATGTGTGTACGAGTATGTGTATATGATGTACATATCTTACTAATTATAATTATTTGGTATTTTACTTACCGCTTCAACAATCTTTTGCTGCTCGATCCAACATGAAACAAAAGAAAAGAACAGATTAAATTCATATAATATGCTTATTACAATAAGATTGGACCTCATCTTTGTCTTCTTTCTTAAAAATCTTCTATTACCGTGTAATTTTATCTAAACATATAAGAAAACTATTCTAAAATCGAACCTAGGATTTGTACAAACCAAACTTATGTATGTATATAACTCTCATACCAAATGATCGATATTTATGAAGTGAAATATGTTGCCTACTTAATGAAACAGTAGGATTTTGCGCGCATAACCCTCCGGTATTATCATAGCTATGACTTAATTATGTTTAATTTAAAAATAAGGGCGGTATACACTTAGTATTCATTAGAAAATTTCATTTTATCATTGGCTTTGATATGTACAGTGTACACTGTTCGACTTTAGTGGAAGTCCTGCGTGATGAAATAATGCAAGTTTATTGTTTAAACTAGTAATTTAATAAAGTATTAAATATTACAATTATTGCACATCCAAATTCCAACACCGGTTACAACAAGAGAGAGAAGGCGAAACAAAAACCAAACGCGAATGGACACTTGAGTGGCACCATAGATTAAAAATATAAAAAGGATGCGTTCTGGTATATGGCTATTTTCCAATACTGGGTTTGGTCACCAGTTTGAGCCAAGTATAGTTATTCGGTTTTTATATTAGAAAATTCTTAGTGAGAATCAGGAGTCGGGAACTTGGCGGTGCTCCATCAATACGTATACGTTTGTTACTACTTTTTACGCTGTAACGGCTGGACGGATTTGGATAAAATTTAGTAAACAGATAGACACACAGAGATAATGCGAAGCGAGGGTAAGTCACACTATTTCTAGAAGAATTTATTTAGAGAGAAGAAGAAGAGAAAAAGAAGAAGAAGAGATTTTCTTTATTCTATACATGAAAAATATGTCTGTGAGAGGAAAGTCACTTAATTCTGCTAGAATAAGGAAAACTTCACACAGTAGAAACGTTTCAACCGAAATTCATTTTAACAATATCGCAGTGTAACACAGGCGTAATAACGTTTATGACATCTACGTAAATTTCCGCATTTCAAAGGTTTTTGAAGGAAATGAGTTAATTTAACATCCAAAGCTTATATAAAGTCGTTTCTTAGAGGTGTTGCAAACACTTAGGAAATATTAACTTGGTTTTGTTTAATTATGTGATACTAGTGGTTTGACCTTGATACGCTCGAATATCTGCCTTTTTCACTGTTACATGTGGAGTTGCCAACCCGCACTTGGGCAGCGTGAGGGATTAGGGAGACTTATGCCCAGCAGTGGGTCGGGATATTAAAAAGGCTGAATTACTATTATTATTATTATACTTGTACACATAAATAACGTAGTACGTATGTACTGTACTGTACTATAGACCTGAACACATAGGCTAATGTTAGAAATAAAATTTGTCAAAAGGTAGCACTTTCTAAATATTATATACAGATAAATACATATAAAAACTTAACTTAAACTTCACGAGTGAGATATAACGATAGTGACTTCCCAAGAAACTACAAAATATGGACATAGTAAAATTTCATATCCTTATATCGATATTTATTAACATACGCATATTATGCTTTAAAGCAGTCAATGTATCGTATAAAGGGATTACTTCAGTTCTTTCATTGAGCATTTTTCAACCTTTTAAGGAATTAATTGCTCGGAATTTTACTTCGCCCAAGTTTTTTGTTGGCTTTTTTGCTTTGCAAAGGGATGGAAAATTAATTATCGATAGATCTACTGATATAAACTTTGTTTTGAAAGGGTTCACCCTATTGTTAATAAAATAATTAGATTAATTTCAAAACAAGCGTGTAAATTCCTGTAAAATAAAAGTTTTAATGAAACTACCTTTAATGTATAGTTATTACTACGTGTGCTACTGGTTTCATGCTGCACAAAAATTTATGTCACTGATTTCGGCCACGACCGCCAATGTCATTTAGACTAGCCAATTATGTAGGAGATGTGATGGTGTACACTGCACAAGTACGTACTCAAACAAAAAAAAAAACTATTACTTTCAATATCCTGTGGAACGACATTTTGACACGACCAGTGAGAGATCAGGCGCAGGACCGACGGCTTTTGCCAAATTATTTAATAGAAAAACTCAATGCCTATACTTGGCCTAATCTGGGACTTAAATCCAGGACCACAAGATTTATAGCTTAACTCGACATCTATTAAAACTAGGTGCTAGACTAGTATGTAAAATATGAAGTAAGGAAGACCGCATTACCGTCGATATCGAATTGTAACATCTCTAAACCGTAATCCGATTGCGATAGTAGGCTGCAATTCAAGGTATTTTCAAGTCACAAATGTTTGTGCTGTTGGCTCTATTGTAGTGTTGTTCAATCTTGAACGCTTTTCTTTTCAATTACAAAATATAGCTTATAGACAGATTTTTTTAGTAACTACTGATAAGCTTTAGTGTTATCAATATTTTTTTTTGGAAATATATAGTCTTTTTTATATACTTATTTTTATCCTCTGTTCGTCAACTGATTTTCTTTTTTTTTGTTTAGCAACTATTGACGAGTTTTAGTGGTATCAATAAAAAAACCTATAAAAGTCAAATTTCGACCACTGGGCGGAAACTAGTTAGATTTAAATACGTTATATGTTTTTTAACAATCTACTAAAATTAATTGAGAACTGGTCCAAAAGATAAGAAATATAGGGGCATATAATATTTTTAAATTGACCGTAGTAGCGGATTGAAATATAGCATCGCCTAGTTATTTACGACACGTTTGGCTTAGTTTATAGTGACCCTACTTGCTGTGCCAGCGGTCGCGGGTTCGAGTCCCGCTGGCGGCATTCATTTGTGTGATGAGCACGAATGTTTGTACTCCAGTCATGGGTGTTTATATTTATAATATGTATCTATTTAATGTTGTATTTGCGTAATATTAATACTTATATTACTCGCAGGTACATACTCTAACATTCTATGATTTTGTCTTTTCACGTTATTTTTTATACAAATATTCAAGTCACAAACTCAAATAAAATTTATCCAAATAAGCTTTCACAAGCGCTTTTCAATTTGACTTAAGAGTCATCACAATCGTTGAGAAGCTGAATCTCGAACGTTTGCTTAATTTACGATTGTTACTGTTATTTTTATTTTACAATTGTACATATAAAGTACACGTAAAGATCTAAATTAATAATATGTTTTTGTAATTTTTAGTGCAAATCACATTAGTATTATGAACTGGATATTTTGTATTTTTGTGTATGTTTGTTACTGTCTCTGAAGCAGCTGGACTTGTTTTGATGAAACTTAGTATACAGATAAAGTGCATGTAACTTGGAGTAACATATAGGCTTCTGTTACTATTTTTTAGTAAAGTTTCCAAAAGATGAATATATACATATTATATTATATACCAAACATCTGTTATATAAAGAAAAGTCAATATATATTCGATTGTAAAATGCATCGAGGTATTCACCAGCGCGAGGGTACTAGTTCAATATAATTGAAAGAAGTATATCACGGAATTTGATTCGTTTTAAAATCCATACATTAGTTTAGTTAATCTTTGTTATTTTTTAAAACTATATTAAATTAATAGTTGCTTAGTAAAAATTTGTACGGAACCCTAAGTGCGTGAGTAAGACTCAAGCTTTACATAATAAATAAGAATTTACATAATAATAATTTAATCAATGCTTTAGATTCTTAAATTAACGTTAAATTAAAACGTTTTACAATACTTCTTCGTCCTACGCATTACAAATATAAGATTTTCTTCAGATAACAAAATCTAATTAATTTTATTTCAAACAATGAAAACTAATTTTTACTTATTAAAATTATTATTTCACTAATTTCGTAGAAATACGAAAACTGGGTCCTAATCATTGTAATAAAATTAATGAAATGTTCTCTTTTATAATTAATTTCATTTGAAACTAAAAAAATATTTTTATTCGGTTATTTCTTTTTCATAAAAATTACATTATAATTTTTTTTAAGTGTCTGTTTATAAACTATACATATAATAAAACTGTCTGTACATAGAAAAAAAGCTAAAAACTGAGTCGGATGGATATAGAAAAAGAAATAGAACAAATCCAGATATTTTTTTTTTGTTTCTCTGTCTGTTTGTCTGTTTGTACGGGTTAATCCGAAACTGTTGGATTGATTTAAATGGAATTTTGCATAGTTGTACCTTATATCCCCGGTGAACATTTTAGATACTTTTCATACCGGAAAATTAAAGAGATTCTGTGGGATAGTTAAAAAACTATACTCGTAGTAACTTATACAGCTTAGTACCCAAAAACTACTAATTTTAATGAAACTTTACAATAATATAGTTCATACATCAGAATAACAAATAAGCTACTTTTTATCACGAAAAAATGTACGGTTTCCGTGGGATAGATTTGTTTTTGTTTGTATAGAGGCGAACTTGTTTGTAATACATAATATTATAAAATTCTGAATCGAGTCTGTACACAATTTTTTTTTTGGAAAATCTTATTGAAATAGTCATTATTATCGATATAGAGGCTGAATATATAGTTTTAGAATGTTTGTCTTTGTCTGTCTGGGAAAGCATCACGAGAAAACTACTGGACAAATTTTGATGAAATATGGTATGATTATCCGAGTTGATCTGGTTATCCGGGTCAACATGAGAAGAGCGAGGGTGAGTCGCTAGTATTTATAATAAAAATAGTTTATATCTCAAATCTTAAAGAAATAAAGTCCGTAGAATATTATAATATGAAAATTTGTGTAAAAAATTGTTTTCAAGATGTATTGTGCCACATACATATTTTAAGATGAAACAAACATGAAATTGAAATTAAAAAACCAAAACTTGATGACAAAAATAACAATATGATTTGCACAAATATAAAAACAATATAATTTTTTAACAAAAAAGGCACACCGACTTCAAAATCATATATCGGGGTGGTTTTTATTTGGAAAATTACTTATTTGGT